GGGAATGGCCACACTGCAATCCCTTCTCCTCCAATTTCCTCTCAGGACCTTGGGCACGCTCGTACACGCGCCTGGTGTGAGTTTAAGCCACCAGGTCCGGGACTTGAATCACAGTCGACTACATGGGAGTCCAGTGACATAGCCATTAGGCCAACTGCTGATCCCAGTTTTGTTGTTATTTTTTAATATTACATTTAACCACATATATCTTTACAGTGTATAACATTTCTTTTTCCAGCATGATTACCACGCATATCAGTCAAGACAAAGACATTGCTATCCACATCATCATTATCAAATAGCTTTTCATTTTTTTCAGATTATTATTTTTTATTCTCATTTTAAAAAAATATTAAATCACTATACATCATTTGGCTTGTAAAGAGAATTTACCTAACATAAAATACTTCTCAGACCAGACCAATAGAGATTACTATACATGTTATCAGCAGGTAATAAAGCATTTCTGTGTCCCACAAATGTCATGCCTCTCTATTTGTTCTCCCTGATTTCCTTGTCTATACTCTTCCCTTCTCCCCTACCCTGCACGCCACACTGTCTTCACCATCCATAAGTATTCTCACTGCTTTTATGCGCTCCAATATTTTTTTAAATTATTTAATTTTATTTATTCATTTATTTTAATTTGACCAGAGAAAGACAGAGAGAGAGAGAAAGTGAGAAAGCAAGCCACCAGGTCCAGGAATTGAACCATGGTCAGCCATGTGGGAGTGTCCAGCGCCTTAACCACAACGCCACCTGCTGGCCCCGCGCTCCAATATTTCAATCTCTACCATATAGTGCAGATAGTTGATATTCATTAGTAGATACATACAATATCTTTCTTTCATAGAAGAATGATTCTTTATAAAGAAATAATTGCCTTTTCAAAATCAGTCACTGGGCCAGTCTGTGGCATGGTGGTTAAGGCAGCTGGATCCCACATGGCTGACTATACAGTTTGAGGCCCAGGCCCAGCAGCTTGAGAAACCCCCCAAGCACGCGTATGTGCATGCCCTAAATCCAAAAGGAGGGAGAGATGGAGGAGAAGGAGTGTGTGACCATTCCCCATGGAGCTGCTTTCTCATTCCCCACCCCACCTCCTACCTAACTCCCCATCTCCTGCTAGTGCATGCACCCTCGGGCCAAATTAATAATAATACATTTTTTTCTAGCTCATATAGTAAAGCTTTGTCACTTTGTTCTACTTCTCAGGCATCTCTTTACAAGTGACTAGGATACAGTATCAAATAAAAATTCATGCCATGGTAAAATTAGCCTCAGGATCTTCTTCAACCTCTGTATCCGTGATGAATAGCCACATTCCCTGGTATTGTATTTCTCTTGCCTGAAATATCCTTGCTGTTCCTTCAAAAACCAGATTTAAGCCACCAGTTCCCATGAAGAAAAACAACTAGACAAAAAAAATTCCTGATCGGGAATTCTGTATTGTCCTTAGATACTCTTATTCTTTACTCCATTTGCTTACTTGCCAAGTAGTTGGAAAAGGATAATCAGCTTAAGAAAATTTCAAATCAATTGTTCTCTTTTATTATCATCTCTAAAATGTCACATGAAGGCCTTAGAAATTATCTGGCTTGGGGACCAGCAGTTGGCAAAATGGCTATGTCGCTGGACTCCCATGTAGTCAACCATGGTTCGAGTCCCAGACCTAGTGGTTTAAACATGCCAGGCACATGTGTGTACATGCTCAAGATCCTGAGAGGAGAATGGAGGAGAGGGGATTGTGGCATGGCCATCCCCCCTGGGGGATGATTTCTCGCTTTCTGTCTCTCTGTCTCTCTCTGTCTTTCTGGCGAGCACATGCACCCTATAGCAAAAACCTCTCCAAAAGAAAAGAGAGAAAGAGAAATTATCTGGCTTGTTACTGTAGCTGGAGAACTCTTAGATCTTACTCATCAGCCTGCTAACGTGTACTCTTCTCAGAGACACAGATACCATCTCAGAGCTTCCTTATATCCTTATTTTATTTATTTATTTATTTTTTGGAGAGGTTTTGGCTATAGGATGCGGGTGCTCTCCGGG